TGCTTTGTTGATAAACTATTGCTCAAGTTTCTCTTATTTTCTTTTCTATTTTTTTTTTTTTTTTTTTTGCTGGCACTTATTTGGCGGGTTTTGATTGTCAGTAAAAATGTTGGAGACTTTTTGGCGCCGCATAGATTATGGCTAACTGGCGCCGCTGTCTTGGCAGCCGCGAAGGCGGAGTTGGAGTCGGCAGAAGGTTGTTGTGGCCTGGCTTTAACTTGGGCCACAATGGGCGCGCCCATTAGTCGAGCATTGGGGCAAAATGTTTGACTTGGCGTGTCAGAGACACGACTCGGCGACTCCAGCTGGGAGGCAGCTCGACAATTCTAATTTCGCTGAGGACACAATGCTCGACTTGTCCTTGAAGCTGTACGCATTTCAATTTCTTCTCGCGCGCGCGCGCCTCTCGAGTGCCACTCGACATCAGGCACAGATCCTGGCAACCGTTTTCAATGAGCTCGTCGAAATCAATTTCGTTTGCGTGCAGCCTTTTGAATTTCAAGGAGACCAAGCTCCCTGACTGCCTGACTGCCTAACTGCCTGTTGGTATGCAACACTTTTTTCTCCTTTGCGCCCGATGCTTCACACACATTCCTTAATGAAAACGAGCTATCACCTATTGTTCCAATTTCTAATTTACACTGCGCGCGTCTCCCCGCCCGAAAAGGTCCTTGAGCAAATCAGTTGTTCACTCGTAATCGAGTCCTGCTGTTGCCAGGAGCGTGCCCATAAAAATTGCATACCACACATTCACACTCACACTCACATTCACACTCACTCACATTCACATTCACTATTAGTGTTCTGAGTCAATATGCTCATGACTCTTTATACTGTTCACACTCGCTTAGGTTGTGAGAGGGGCATATTGGTTTTACAAAATATTCTTTATTGGGTTAAGATATCAAATTTACAAAATTACTTGATGCCATTAAACTAGGGGGTTGTAGTTTAGAATATAGCAGAATATTTCTATAAATCAATAGAGCCTGCCAAAATAGCAAAATGATCTAGCTAAGATACGAAAAGCATCTCTTATGTACTTTTGCGTTGTCAATTCCTCAGCTCAATATTTGCCAAGTAGAGATTTTCTCAGTTTAGAAAATCGGACAGCTAATTGAACCAGAAATTAGAAATCTAATTGTTAACAACTATCTAGAAACTATCGATATATATGTATATATCCTATATAATCAACAAGTAAATGGGGGCTAGATAGCCTATCCCATCCTAAGCTATCCCATCATATCTATTGCTATTCTATCACACACAGCTAGAAAGCTCAATAGCTTCAAGTCGAATATAGGAGTGCTATAATTTATACCCTTTATAGTTAGACCCCGACTTTTATATCATTTATATCATTATTTTATCTAAAGTGTGTAACTATTTTTCACGAGATTGCTGTTGAGCCTTTTTGCGATCTATCGCAGACTTTATCTGAATTGCTTCTGTAACGATCAACCTCCATTGATATTGTCCTCTCTCTTCTCTGTGAAACAATCAAATATATTTCTCTGTGAATATATATCATATAAATAAATATTACACTCTATCACATACATTCTATATAGAGATGTCAATCTTAGATCTGTGTGTCATACAGAATATTCAATTTATAGTTGAATCTCTAATAATAGATCTTCATATAGATCTTAATATAATTGCCCTAAATGTACGACGATTTGAACTCTTCTTACTGAAACTTAAACAAGTATCACGCAGTCAGTTATGCCCCAGTGTAATGCTCTTGCCGGGTGTATTGTTTACCATGAGCCAACGGCTTGCCACGCAGGGGCAGCTTCCGCTGGAAGCACGTGCCACGGCTGGCAACGTGCACGAAATTCCTGAGCCAACGGTGAACGTCTCGGCATGCCGTTGCCTTTCATAACTGGCGGGCAAACAGATTGACTGATTGACGCACTGACTGACTGACTGACTGACTGACTACAGACCGTAGTTGGCTGCGGCTTCTTGTGGCCTCTTTAATGACTTGTTAAGCATGCCAATAATTTTTACAACTTTGCGACGCGCCACAGCGCGAGACGACGACACGTGCCCAACTTTCGCGACGCTGGCTAAGTCCCGCCCCCATCGCCTCTCTAAGCACTTGCCACAGCATCCTTTTTGCATGGTCAAGTTCAGCCAACCAACCACGCGTCGTGCTCTCGTCTCGTTGCTGATCAACGTTGCGTTAAATTAAATTTTTTTCCTATTTTTCATTCAGCATTTTTTTTTTTTTTTTTGCCAATTCCATTTGATTGCAATCATATTTCAGTCTCGGCATATTGCACACTCATCATTTGGGACACTAGCCTACAGAAAGCAAGTTAGCAAGGTATATATTGGCTCTAGAAGAGTTTCATTTTCTATGCCAACTTGATTCTAGGGGAAAAGTTACTAGAGCGGATCTCACTTTAAAATATATTAATGAAAAACCTTTTATGTAATTTTCTTCCCCTAACCTACACAATCGATGTCCCTTTACTTAAATAGGCTTATTTCATTAAGGTCTGCTAATAGATACATATATATACCCATAAGAGCGGAACTCTAATCCTAATTAAATTTATAAACAAAAATCCCACTGATCTATTCTCTTCGAATTCCCATTAAAACTCAAGCATAACTTCAATATTTTTCTTCCTTTTCTTTTAACGACCCCACTTGTTCTGCACAGTGTGGTTCTATTCATGATATTTTCGTTTCGTTCGGCTGGTCCACTCACCCGCTGAAAACGCCTGTCGCCTTCTCCTTAAACGCCGTCAAGCCCTTCATGATGCGATTTTTTGTTTTTGTTCACTGACTTTAGTTGTTCTTGTTGTTGTTGCTACTGTTGTTGTTGTTGTTATCGTTTGTGCGCATAAATATTTTGTTGCCTACTTCACGGCGGCTTAGCTTTTAGCTACTATATGGGCGTGTCGAATCGCAGCGGGGCTAATTTTATAACTCAATTTTGGTTGGCTCGTTCGCTCCGGCGGGGTTCCAAATTTGTTGCTCTTCCTCTTGCCCTTATTCGTTGTTGTTGTTGAAAAGGTGTTGATGCTGCATTTTCACAGTGCCTGGCAAAAGAGAAGAATCGAGAGTTAAACAGCATTCGCTATGATTGTCTGCCTCGTGTTTTGCCGCTGATAAGCAAAGCCTAAAGAGCTCAGAGTCTCATAATTTGCCACATTTGTCGTTCATTCATTTGTGGCTGCAAATGTTTCGTAAGCGGCTTAAGATCATAAATTTCGCATGCCATTTGATGGTCGAGTTAAATTTTTGTGGGTCTTGCAATTGGCTTCTGGGGGAGGTAATATAGCAATGAAGATGACAAAATGTTTTACAGGAATATTTGAATTGAAAGCTTCAATATATTTTAAAATATATTAATGTTAAAATATTCTATAATAATTGGGAAGATTTATCTTTTATAATAATTTTCAAATAATTATAATCTTAGCTAAAAAAAAAATCATAATTATTTTTGTAAATTTTTTATTGGTTTTATTTTCTTTTTTTTTAGCTCGATAAACTGAAACCCTACGAAGCACTTTTTAAAGTCTTTTGATAGATTAGAAAAAAAATTTTCATTGTAATAAAGCTAATTTTACATATAGCAACAGCATTCTTAAGAACTGAGTATTTTTTAAGACTCGTTTTTTTTTTTTTTTTTTTATTATATTTTTGAAAAAATAAAAAATTAAATTTTAATTTGTCCTAAAAATTAAATAAAAATATGTTCTTAAAGGAATCAATAATATACTTGAAATAAAATTATTATAAATGTGTAAAACATTTTTTTTTTAATATTTATTTTTATATGAAGTATAGAAAAAAAATCCACTGAAGTATCGTATACTCTAGCAAATCTTAATCAGTCCATTCATATACTATTCCTATTCATATACTGCATCCCATCAGTCTAGATACGCGAACAAAGGAAATCAATAACTATCAATGACTATTCAGTCGGCCCCGTATAACACTTGACCTTTAGGGCTTCCGTTACTTACATTGCTCACGAGTATTGCGTAATCCATTTCTCCGCTCGATTATGTAAGCGCCTCACGTAATCCCAATGACAGTTCTCGTTTTAATATTATTTTCGTTTATATGTGTTTTTATATATATTAAATTTTAAAATTATACAACAAAATTTATAATATTTTAAAATATTTTATTTTATATTTTAATAACTTTCTTTTCTTCGTTTTATTTTGGTTATGATATCACAAATAAGGTACACAGATTATAGATATATATTTATATATAGACGTAGGTCAAATCGTTTACAACATAACACGTTACGCTGTAAGAAACGAAGAAGAAGAGAATCGCAGTGTTATGTAGATTTTAGGGTTATGTAAGTGAGAGAGTTTCAAAGATTATTTAAAAAAAAAAAAAAAAGTTTAGTTTGTTTAGATGAAAGTCCATTTCATATTTTATAAATATTTTTAGTTAGACACGTGAATTTTAGTTTAAAAAATAATTTATATATATATGTATATATATATATTTATTTTTTTTGTAATTTTATATATATATATATATATTTATTCGATTTCTTGGTAATAAGTTTTATTAAGATTTCCAGTTATAGATTTTTCTTCAGTTTACTTTATATTTATGGAAAGTTTCATACGATTTCTAAGCAACACACGCCCATTAAATGATGAAGGAAATTAGAACGAAGAGATTAATTGAGGTTAAAACTTAATTAAATCAAAAACTAAAGCTAAGCTAATGCTAGACGCGACAACATTCAGACAGAGTTGAAGTCGAGCCCGGCGGCTGGCTCGACTACGACTACGACGACGACGACGACGACGACGAGACTCGATTTTTGTAGACGATCCGCGTTCAACTCTGTCTGAAGACTGTGCGGCAGTTCGGCTGAGGACGCGAGCTGGCGAGGATCAGACAATGAGCGCAGCTCAGGCGGGCGCTGCCAGCGCATGCGACAGTTGCAACATTGTGTGGCAAGTACATAAGCAGCTGTCTCTGTCTAAGAGCCATATATACATATGAATATACATATACATATATAGGCAGCCCAGCTGGGGTTGCTGCCTTGGTATATACACTGGAAATTTTCGACTACTGGAACTGGAACGGGAACTACTGGAACTGGGAAGTCGAGCGCGTGGGGTTTTTTACTTCCAAAGAAAAGGATTTTAATCATAACTTTTGATTAGCACAAAATCACTTTCGATTATTTATAGTATTTATTAATAATTATAGACAGCTATATACACACACACACACACACATATGTATATATATGTATGTATATAGTTGCTATCTCTGTGCACACACTCACTGGGCACTAACGCTGCGGCGCTTGGCTTTGGCCTCAGCAGGACAACGCACGAAGTGAAACTAACGGCAAAGCCAGCATTTGCCCTTCTTGTCTGGCCAGCCAGTCCAGGATGCTCTGGTCCAGCTTATGCTCGGCGAGCATAATCACAGCTCCCGCCGTCTCGCTCGCACTCGGCCGCACACAGAGCGTGCCGTGGTGAAAAGCTCGCGCGCAGCTGCTGCGCAGGCTCAGCCTGTGTCCTTCACTGTGGATGTGCAGGAATTTGTTGGCCCTCAGCATTGGTCGAGGGTTGCTTTTGGCAACAGTGTAGCAGGTCGAGTGCGGCCGTCGGTGGTGGGGGGGGCTAAACCACCTGGCCAGCCAGAGCACCAATCAGCGAGCACCTCCACACACACGCACACACATAGATATGTATATAGCTGCAGCTATGTGTGGCATGTGGCATGCGAGCAATGTGAATCTCGGCGCTAACATGTTGCCAAGCACAGGCGGCATTGTTTAGCTAAACATACATATACATATATATCCATATATATTTGTATAGTATATACTGTATATGTATATATGCGTGTATCGCTTGACTGTCTGTTATATGGCGCAAGTGTCGGCCATTTTGAATATTTACTTTGTTCGGCTTCAATTGCTTTTCTATAGCTCTGCCTGTGCGCTGCCGCGATTTATGTTGCAACATACATACATATATATTATATATTCACATATATATACACTCTTGGCATTTGTTATTGATTGGCCAAGCGTAATGCCAGTCAGCGTCCAGCTTGAGTTTAAATCAAGGATCTATCAGCCATTTGAATTATTCGAATGCCGCGTGTTTGCTCACAAATTAATATCAAGTTTTCACATTATTTATGCTTTGCTCTCTTGAGTTACTCTAAATTAACTGTGGCAATTTATCAGCTGAACAAATTCGATTGTCCTCAATGAGAGAACAAAACATTGTCTTCTTCTTTATTAATGCAACTCAATTCATTTTGTTCATTTGAAGTCGGGAGAACTTAATGAGGTACTCAAATTTATAGTCGTCCAGAAGTAAGCGAAAAATAAAATAAAATATATAAAAATATATTCGCATTGTATACTTAAATAGAAAATAAATAAACGCTTCCAATTGTGGAAAATAATTTTAAATGCTAGCTGACAAATCATAAGAAGTAATTTAATAATAATTTTCGATACGCTTAAAAGAAATAATTAATCATATAGTAAAACCTCTTTGTTTTTATTTCGTTAAAAACAAAACTATATTTTGAATTTAAAATTCATTTCATTTTAAAATTTTAAAAAATTTAATTAATAAATAGTATAAGCAATAAGGCCGAATCAATACTTGCACGTACAATAATATAAATAATATTATATATTTTAATTTCTATATAAAATAGTTTAAAGAATATTTATTTTTTACTTTTTCTTAACACTAATTTGATTTATGTGCAGTAAATAATATTGTTGCTTAAACAGAAACAAAAAAAAAATAATTATTTGTGAAAAAACCAAATATTAAATAGGACAGTAAATTGATCATATAAATTTTACATTCTATTTGTTAAAAAATATATATAAAAATTTAAAAAAATAAATAAATAAAAAAAAAAATAGTACTTAAATTCAATTACATTTGATTTCTAAAATAAATAAAAATATATATATATATATATATATATATATATATAATACTTAAATTGAATTACATTTGATTTCTCTTGGTTTATGGTTTTTAATTTGCTTTTTTGATTCGGTGGTTGGGCTTAACAAAATATTATAAAAGTACTAAGTATAAATATTTCAATATTTATTAAATAAATATTTATTTAAAAAAATGTTTGTTGTTGGTTTAAGTTTATTTAAATTTTGTAAAAATATTATTAAATATTAAATACAGTAATATTTATTTTTAAAATTTTTTTTTTTTAATTTTTTTTGAAAATTGTTGAGGCTCATAAAGCGATTCTTTTAAATTTCATTCCGCTTGAAAGCCAAGAAAAAGTCTTTTCGCATAGCCATCGTAGCCATCATGTAAATGGCATCTCGCAGTTCCATTAAAAGTAGCTACTAATCTAAGCAAACACTCTCGGCAACTGCCTCGCTTCCCATCGCACACAGGCGAGCCAATTCATAATCCATAAAAACCTATGGCTCTTGGAATTCTCATCTCTAAGTACTTCCATATTTTACCCTCTAACCTGCTGCTGCTGCTGCTGCTGTCTCTGGGCAGCTGTCCTGACGACGTTGCTAATACGACGCATTGGCCTAACCCTCATAAGCATAGAGCAAACAGACAAACAGACAAACAGACACAACAGACAAACAGTTGCAACTCAGCCAAAAGTTATAATAAAGTTGCGGATGTAAACAACTACAGCGAATAGCTGGGAAATGAAATGAAAATCAACAGAAGCAGGGCACGGCGCACGAGGCACGGGGCCGCAGAGGATTTTCTCAACATTTTTTCCATCACATTGGCAAAAAAGGATACATTCAGCCAAACAGGAAGTGAGAGCCGCCCAGACAGTCGACAAAAGCAGAGACTCCAAGGCACCAAAAATAACAACAACAATAACAATAACAATATTCTGATGTGATATTAAATTTCCAGATTTGTTGGCAGTCGTCTGAGTGTGTGTGTGTGTGTGTGGGCTTCCGTTTTACTATTTAAACAGAACGCTTAAGGGTGGTGCGCTGCCTGCGCCTAACTAAGAGCACGCAACAAAAATCACATTGATTGACATAAATGAAGAATAATCGAATCGCGCTCATAAAACTCTAAACTAAGTGCCCAGCCATGGGAGCTCTGCTGCTGCAGCTCAAGTGTCATCCCACAAACAAGGCACAGTGGGCCATATCTTTCATTTAAATGGCAATCAAATTAACTGAAAGTAATCCAATTTTAATTCGTCAAACAAAATATTTTTGTATTATAATTCCGATTTGAATAGGGCACAAATTGTGGGCTCGAGCCGGACACCACTCGATCTGAAGTCGAATGCTCTATCTCTGAGCTATCTCCCTATATTAATTACGTATATCAATCTTAATTTAAAATTTCCTTTTACTCATTTACTCATTTATTCAAGCTAAAACAAAAACTATTCAAGCAAAACTAATAAGTACATAAAAATGTATTTTAAAGAAAAAATATGTTGTTTTTTTTTCTAATTTTTAAGGTTGTTTTATATACAAATTAGATGTGAGTAAAAAAAATTCTTTTCAAAATTTTAAAAAATTTGTAAGTCAAAATTACTAGATAAGAACCCCATGGCCTGTCCATTGCAGCCGTTTGATCAAAGCTACTGAGCTACAGTGCGAGATTAACTTAAGACTTTTAAACTAATCTTGAACTTATGCCTTTAAAAAAAAAACTATAATAAATTCATGACTGCTTCCCAGCTTTAAATATTAAACAAAAAATATTGGATTCTTAGGGGACACCCGGACTTGAACCAGGGACCTCTCGATCTGCAGTCGAATGCTCTACCACTGAGCTATGTCCCCATTGGCCTACGAGATTTTTAAGCTCAATTTGAATTGTGTAGTCAAAGCCCACTGTGCAGCCCTCGATAATGTATAGGCGTGGCTGTCTGTCCCGTCTCATAAATTGTGCGAAAAAAGTGTCAAACTTGAGTTGACAGGCGCGACAGGCGGTGCGACGGTGCAGGGCAGAGCCACGTCAGCGGTAATTAGTGCAACGGCGCCCAGAAGTCGTCTTCAATTTCAGTCAGCAACAAATTGTTGTTGTTGTTGTTGCTGTTGTTGTTGTAACTCTTGCACTAATTACAAAATAACTTTTGTCGACTTTTTCTCCCACTGGCAGCGCGTTGTCATCTTTGTTTGGGATTCCCCGTGGCCTCAATGATGTAGCTTTTCGTAGCGACATCCTTAATTGGAATGGGTTAGGCGCTGGCTCATCCGCTTATGGATAGCTGACAGGAAAAGGCTTTCGGTTTTAATTACCAGCTGCAGCAAAACGGCTTTAAAGTTCTCGATATAGGCAACTCGAGCGCCGTTGAATATGTTGCTCTGGTCATCGGCAAATGGGCAAGGATGTGGTGCTTCTGCTTGTTGATTTAGCCGATTCATGCTGTCAATCCACACGTCCACCCACTCAATCACAAACTAAACGCTGCGCTCAGCTCGATAAGCGCGTGCCACCGTAAACCGTAAATCGAAACCTGAGGGTGTTTTTTTTTTTTTGTTTTTCCTACTCCTCTGGACTGGGTAAGACTGTGGCCAGAGATTCCTCTCACTTCCTCCCTCTCTCTCTCTCTCTCTTCCTCTCCGTCACAAAACGATTTCGCTTTCGTCAGCCAGAGATTTAATATTTATTTTTGTTTGTGTGCAAATAGCTGGAAGCAACTCAGATATGAGACACGCACACGGCACGAAGGGGACTCGAGTTGTTTTGCCTGTTATTAGTTTTAAGACTCTGATAGAGCCGCTTGTCTCGTGTCTCTCAATTCAACTGTGTGTAATCGAGACGTGGCCGCAGTGAATGGGGATTCGATGTTTGATTCGGTGTGAACCGACAACAACTCGATATGAAATGTATTTGTTGCAGTGATTGTAGATTGCCGAATATGAAAAGAAAGGCTTGAAAAAGACTTCTCTCGGTCTTGAAATAGAGGAATACATTTTAAAATGAATACCAGTATTATTATTTATTTTATTTTTTTAAAACTTTTAATGAGTGTGAAACATGTTCCATCAAAATTGTAATAAAATGTTTGGTGTTGAATTTCAAGATTCCTTAGGTACCCGATTAGTTCGATTATCAGATGTAAGATCAAACGGACGGAGAACATGTTAAAAGACATCTCCATAACATCTCTCTTAAACTGATTATTACTCACAAAAATATTTATATATTATATGCTAATGAAATCAACTCTTGAACATATTCCAACTTTCTTTACAATGTGAATCTCAAAATGTCTTTAGTTGTACTTTTCTGCATAATTAGCATATGACGATTTCTAGGAATAGTGCCAACCCCAAATGGGCGAGCATCCATTAGGACAATATACACTCACATTCGCATTCACATTCATATTTCGCCAAACGTGAATACAATGAATAACGACACAAAAGCCAAAGTGCCAACAACAACAAGTGAGAACGCTGCGGTCGAGCGTTACCGACTGCAGAATACTCATGCGCAGCCTGCTTTCTATTTTTATCACGTGCAAGTCAAGCCTCTAGCTTCAAAATTATCGTCAAAGTTGCATTCAAAGGGACAGACGAACGGATGGACTGATGGACAGACAGCAAGACGGACATTGAACGAAACCTATATACTCATTTATCTTTCATATTAATGTAGGTCTAAAGCATGATAAATTCTTATACAGCTGGCTAAACATGTTTCCTCTAATCTCTGCAGCGACTCGTGATGGATATTGCAGCTCTACTAGAGAAAAAACACTAAGAAAATATATATTGTTAATATATATTAATTTAATGAATGCCCTGTTTCTCATATTTCTATCTCATTCGCTTTGCTCTCTTCAACTCCAACCAATATACTCATTTCGCTTTACTGAATGAGTGATTATGAAAAGTCGCCTGCGACTTTATTTTAAGCTAGAATGCACACACGTTTTATGGACACCCTCTGGCCTCTGCCGTCCGCCTCAGCCAGGCAGGCAACCCCTACCCCCAACCCCCCCAGGCTGGCAATGGCGAGCGACACACCGGAAACGTTGCTTTTGCGCCCTCGGCGTGTGTTTTGAGCCTTTTATGAGTTTTTGCTTATGTTTTTTTTTCGCTCTCTCTCTCTCTCTTTTTTGTCGTTTACCCTCGAAATGCATAAATACTTTGTATATATAGCTGGGTCCTTAGAATGTCTTGATTAATGTTGGCATGCGTTGGCTTTTACCCCAGCTGCCCATCGAAGTTCCAGCTCGATTCTGGCCTGGCCATGGGACACGGCAATAAAACTGCTGTCACACATCATTTGGCAGGCTCGAACAACGAAATCTGTAATTTAAAATATATATTTTAAACATTTTAAATGGACACCTGATTCCCCCTGCCCACTGGCCACTGCTGTGGTGTTGGGTGTTGCCATTGGCGTTGCCAGACTGGCAGCATAATGAATCTAATCACTTACGCTCGAGTGCATCAATTATGCTGCCATCAAGCATCACGGCATGGCATGAGGAACGAACGGACAGGCCTACAGACAGTCTGACAAAATGACTCCAGCCCGCCTCAGCCAGACTCCCCCCGAGTTGCCTCTGACAAGCGTGGCGAATGCGACGACCGACAACAAAAAGCCAGCAGAAGCGACGCGTCCTTTGTTAACAGCGCAAATTTGTTTGCAGCGTCATCAACAAGAGCAACAGCAACAACAGCAACAACAACAACAACAACGACAAGCTCATCAACATCAAGTTGATAACTTTATGATGTATATATGCATGTAAAGATATACCACCAAACTGCCCAATGCGAAAAGCAACATCTCCCTTAGGCAGGGTTGCTAAAAATTCTTAGCGTGAGTGAAACGTATTTTGAGTGAGGATATATTTGAGATTTTAAACCGTTGAGAACTGTATCATATCTCTAATAAGCGTTCCATATAAATAAATAGTTATAATATCCCTAAAAAGCTGAATAAGCTCGTAGGTTTCCATAGTCTTACATACATTAAGTATTTCTCTTTTTATTAGCTCATCTTTTCATCTAGTAAAATATTCCAATATGTTTGAACATACTTCTATGATATTTCCCTCCACACAACATATACTAAATGTAAGAAAAATCAGTGCTGCTTACTTGAATCTATGAGAATCGCAGAGAATGGCAGTTCATAAATACATAAATATTATTGGTCACTTTACAGCACTTGATTTGGGTGACTCTGACTGAATTTACTGGTAGAAGAACTCGCATATACATATTAATATATAATTGAATTTTTAATAAATTAAATTAAAATCCTTATAATTTATTATCTAATTATTTTATTTATCAAAGTATATCTTCAATCTAAAAAAAGGAAAACATTATTATTTGTTAGTCAAAGTAAATCTAATGAGTTCCACATGGTTGAGGGCTTGATGGACTGAGTCAATTTGTCCACATTTATTCATTCATTCTGCTTTCAAGAATATATTCACTTAAAAATAGATGCATGTGGAATATCATCTAGCGCAGAGAAGCCCCGCTTCACTTGGTCAGCAACCACAAAAGTTGT